TGGGCCCAATGCAAAGTAATGAAGTCATTCAGTGGCATGAAAAAAGGGAAGAAGGAAGATAAGGCCATAGCAGTGTCTGTGGGTGCTTTAAAGATTCTGCAAGTGCTTAAAGAAAGGAAGCCTTCATCATCATTGAGGTTAAAAAGTAACAGGGGGTGCCTAAGGGCCATGGCCTGGCATTAATACCTTATTCTTCTTACAAACCACCCCCAAACTTCTATGCTGCTCTTTTAAAAAGAAATCTCTTCCCTTTTTTAAAAATGTCTTTTTCTGTTCAATGTTTCTAATGATAAGAGTGTTGATGAAGTGTTTCTTCTCTGAAATGTTACAGGTCACATTATTACCCAAGTGACATACCTATGACATCCCTCTGGGGATTTCTGGTTCTGTCTATTTCTTCAGGAATTAGTTCCAGACATGGCAGCAGACACTGGCTGGTGACCAAATGTGTTTACTTTTCTTCTGAGCTCACAGCTACATTTCTCTCCTTCCCGTGCTTTTAGGTGTGAAAATGCCACTTGATTCTTGCCAAAGAGATGTGGTCAGAAGTGATATAAACCACAAAATGTTTAACTTCCTCTGATCTTCCATTCTCCTTCCTTATTTATGTTATCTGATGGCTGTATGTCTATGCCCCGGGTAACCTTAGAACACACACATGAGAAAGACAGCAGACACTCCAGGAGTCTGGGTCCCTGCAAGAAGTATTGCCCCTCGCCATGTATAAGGAATAAATTTCTATTGTGGTAAGCCACTAACATGTCAGGAGGTGTCTGTTATAACAGCAAACATTATTCTAAAACAGATGGGATCCAGAAATAGGCCACAAGACAAAATAACTTTGCAAAGAAAAATATTGTCAATATTTTGTGTCTATTTTCTCCTCTTCTTTTTTTTAAATGTAGCATTCTTACGTATTTCATTTTGTAGTTCTTTACCCATTATCTTTGCCCCATCAGAAATTCAAAAGTTCTGCTTAATCTGGCACAAAATCTATATAAGCAACATCAGAGGAAACATTAAAGCCAATTGCCTGAACACAGCTCCCTCTTCAAATGTGGTAGCTTGAACCACTCAAAACAGAAGGCATGAAAAGGCACTGGGGAACCTATTCTATGTAAGAAGTAATAACTATATCCTCTTTTTCTACCTTTCGTTCCAGGAGACAAACTGGTGGGCAGGGTCCCAAAATGAACTACTCCTCTGTGACAGCCTAAGGCCATTCTGCTATAACTCTGCCCCCAAATAGCCTTTAAACACAAGTTAGCCGAAACTGGTTTGGCTCAATGGATAGAGCGTCAGCTTGCGGACTGAAAGGTCCCGGGTTCGATTCCGGTCAAGGGCATGTACCTTGGTTGCCGGCACATCCCCAGTAGGGGGTGTGCAAGAGGCAGCTGATTGATGACTCTCTCATCAATGTTTCTAACTCTCTATCTCTCTCCCTTCCTCTCTGTACAAAATCAATAAAACATATTTAAAAAAAAAAAAAAAAAAAAAAAAAAAAAACACAAGTTAATTCTCCAGGTTTGTCTCATTAGTTTCTTTGGTTTGTTATGGTAACTACATCTGACTTTACCTAGCCATCCTGGTATTTGGTAGCAAAATTGCTTACTACAAAATTGTTCACTCCATCAATAATAATACCCCATTATTAAGAAAAAGTAATAGTTGCCACACATTCAAAAGCACATTTTTTGAGCCAAAATAGAAATTAAAATGTTTTAATAAGTGAAGCAACTAAAGGAAAATTGGCTGGAAAAACTCCATGATAATTTTAAATTCTGTTTTCTTTTTTGTGTGTATGATAATTTCTTTTTTTGAAAAATACATGTCTATTTATTTTAAAGAGGAAAGAAGAGGGAGAGAGACAGAAAGATCAAGAAGAGCGAGAAGCATTGATCTGCTGCCTCCTGCACACCCCCTACTGGGTATCAAGCCTAAAACCAGGCCATGTGCCCTGACCAGGAATTAAATTGTGACCTCTCAGTTCATAGGTCAATGCTCAATCACTGAGCTACACCAGCTGGGCTATATTCTGTTTTCTTGACTGAAGAGCCAAAGCTCACACTTCCATACCATTTACTTCATTACATGAGAATTAGATGACCGATACGTTGTCTTGAGTAACTGGCAGAATGAAAGAGCACATACAAGATGTAAGATCTACTGACAACTAAGAAAAGCTTAAAATGAACCATAGATGGTAGGAAAAGGTACAAAAATATATCTGTAAAGAAAGTGATAGAACTTAAACCTTACGTGCCTAAAAAAATCTTGTTGAAATCTAGGTGGAGATAAGCTTTGAAGATAAATAGGCCTGGGTTCAAATTCTGGTTCTTCCTCCTGCTAAATGTGAGCCCATAGGCAAATTGCTTGACTTACCCAACCCTCAGTTTTCTCCTGTGCAGAATGGATGCAATCCCTGAGCTGGTATGAAAATTGGGGTGTAAAGTGACATGTGGTAAATAATTTCTATAAATTGTAGTTATTAGTACACCTGGAAAATGTTTACTATGGACTTAAAAATGATATTGTTTTTTCAATATGAAGTAAAGATAGCAGAGTTTCTCTTGTAAAGTTCCACAGGGATCTCTTTTCCTAATGCATCTACCACATTGGCAGAAATAGCATTGTTAAGTTTACCTTGGCTAAATACGCTTCATTCATCTGTCAATAAGATTCTGGGCTTCCAATCCAGTTGGCGATTGTTGAAGCTGGATGGAGCAGAACAGGCTACACAAACCGTGTCATATTCACCTCAGAGGTTTATGCTACCAACTATAACATCATATCTCTGTCAATAAAGCACAATTACAGGGCTTGATAAACTGATACAAATAAAAATAAAAATAAAAACACCTAAAACAGGTCTCCTGACTCTTCTGGCTACAGGTAGAGGACTTGTTTGATTCTGTTACCTGCGAATATTAGAATGGCTCCTTTGTGGACCGAAGGAAAAAAAATCTTCCTACCCATTGACTCTAAAAAAGGTCAAAACTAGTGAAATGTTGCTACATTTGAAAACCCTGGAGTTATTTTGTAAATTTAAACATATTCTTTGCTTCTTATTGAAACATGAGTCTATTTTATCCAAAATAGAGGGGTACCATTTCATGTCCTTTGGAATCAGGTAACACAAAGGTTAGGCAAATCATTTCAGCAACTACATTTGTGATATCCAAGCTAGGTGCTCAAAGCACTTGCATAAATCCCTTTAGAAAAATGTTTCAATACATATTATCTTTATGAGAAAGAAAACAAGAAAAAGTACCTGATAGTAACATCTACGCTAATAAAATAGAAGCATGTAAATTGATCATCACTTCGCTATGCCCACCAGCCAATCAGGACTGAGTATGCAAAGTAACTCAACAAATATGGCAGCATCCACGCCCCCCAGCCGCTCTGGGCCTCTGGGCAGCACACATGCAGGCACTGAGTGGCCAGGCGGGGCTGGGCACCTGCTATGAGGGGTGGGGGGGCAAGGGTAGAAGCATTTCAAATTAGACTGATCTTGTTGAATTGCAGTTTTGCAAACCCTCTGTAACTGTGTAGTTTTGACCCTCAATTTCCTCATTAAACAATGGGATTGGCAACATCCAAGGGTGGTTGTGAGACAAAATGAAATCATGTAATGCCTAGAATATGGCCTGCCATCTACTAGAGGGTTAAAATGTATTATTTATCAGTTTTTTATATAATAAAAGGAAGAAAAATTGAAATCTGTAAAGAACCTGGACTGATGGCCCCAAGAAAGCAAGAAATATGTGTCTGCCAAAATTGTGAAGGGCCAAAGAGGAAATAGTAGAATCCTGAACATCATCATTAAGGCAAAAACAAGCTTTAACTACCTCTTGGCCTGCCTAATACTTACATCCACAAAAAGAAACCTTGAACACTCTATTCTGGCTGTAATCTCCAGTTTCCTCTGGGCAGTAGTGGTTTGTTTCTAGTTTTAAAGACATAGGCTTAAGTAAGAAGACAAAGAATCAAGCTCCAATGCCCGGGGCATGCCATCTGCCTAGCATTAAGCAAGAACCAAAGTCAGTTACAGAAGCACAGTCATTTCCAACATGATTTATGTTCCATCCTTGAATGTGGCAGGAAGACTGCAAAAGATATTTGGAAGCCAATGCTTCCTCCGAATAAAGTAAGCGAGTAGATGCTAAGCCCCTCTCCCGGACCATGCTGGCCTGTTAGATAGGTTGCCAAGGTGGAGTCCGTGAACCCTGGAGCAGAGTGGCTGATCGAGGATGAGAAAATAGCTGGAGGCCAACGATCATCGCTACCGTAAACGACCAGCGCGCAGTACAAACACTGAGGTCAGACAGCAGATAGCCAGGATATTACTCAAAAACACATCCAGCTCAAAGCTGACAAGATAATCTGTTCCTGTGGGTGCAAAGCAGACTGGAATGCTGGCGCGATGACCTACTCAAGGAAAGAAAAAAGAAAGTGCAACTCTCCAAGGGCTCCATATCATGCTTTCCGCGCAGGCAGAAGTCCAGCGGACTTCAAAAGGAGGGACGCCTGGGGGGGAGCCCTGGACCAAGCCCACAGGGGGTATCGTTTCCACGATCAGGTTGCCATCTACATTTGGTGGACTGGCAAACGCAAATACTTCAAGACACAAGTTTCAACAGATGAAAAAAAAGCAGTGTGAAAGAGCTCGGAGATTTGCTTGCAGAAAAAGTCCAAATTCCAGGGAAAGCATTTGCTATCAGGAACTTCATAAGTTATTTCAACAGTCCCAAGAGAGCCATTGTTTATGATGGCATTGAGATGAAACGTCTTTCTAGCTGACACATATGGCACTCCAACATATCACACGATCACAAAACAGTGCACTTCAAAAAGTAACTTCCCAAAGTTAAGTAGTCTTAACCAGTCAGTAACATTTTCCTAATTGAAATATAGATGATATTTTGAGGTTTTTAACCAGGTTTTAACATACGTGATCCTGATTAATGTAGAAGAGCCAAAATGCAGCAGATACTTACAGGAAGACCTATATGGTGGGAGGAGGGAGTAAGAAAGAAAAAAAGGAAGAGACAAATTAGTGAATATGCAAAATATTAAGATTAAAGCATCATCATAATCATCAGCACAATACAAGGGGCAAAGAAGTCGGGGATTCTTAATCTTTTTTTAGAACATAACCCTTTGACACTGTATCAGCAAACTACATTTATGTCTATGTGCATACAAAACTTACCATAAAATTTCAAGGAATTTTCAGATTCCCGGAGGCTTGTTTATGAATTACTGAGACATTTATATATTTTAAGGAAAGTATGTCTAATTTATATACCTAAAAATTTAGATAAAATATGAATCATGAGGATTTTTTGTCATTTATAATAGGCCAATTATAGAGAACTGATATGTAAACTTTCTTGAGCTTTTTAAAATGGCTAAATTACTAATGTATTTATTATTTGTTCTAAGAATATTTTTCATTCAATAGTATTGTCAATACATAAAAAAATAAGCTTTGACATTTATGTGTTTCTTTAAAACTATGTTTTCTCATCAAAACACCAGCAAATTCTAAGAAAATTTCAACAGTTCACACACCATAGGTTCAATTAAAACACCAACTCTAAGTGACCAGAGAGTTGGGAATTAACTTTTACATTTTCTATAAAACTCTGCTTACACACAAAGTTTTCACTTTCCTCCCCTCAATCCTATTTCTCTTGACACAAAGATCAATTCAGTGACTATTTGAGTCCACCAATGTTTTATCATTTCTTTTTTCTCAAAGCATCCTCTATTATGAAACTGCACTTTTCATAGGGAATACCTATTCAAATTACCAATCATTTAGACTTAGTGAGGTTTAAAGGCAACTTTTGAGAATACTCTTAAAGTAATTAAGCAGCCACACTACCCAAATTCTTGAATTTTCATAAACCCTTTCTACTTTGACATCTTTTTTATTTTTCCAAGAAGAAGAAGAAATGAGACAAGATAAAATAAATCTGCACTCTGCTTTTTTTTGATAGGTTAGTATTTCTACTGTTTGAGCCCTTAGTAATGATTGTTTTTAATACTGAAAATTACTTATTGAGAATAATATTTCTTATCACACACCAGAATCAAAATTTAAATTGCCTTCCTCTTATCTTGCAAATAAGAACCAGTGGCCTCACATGGTCATTTACATTTTTGGAGTCTTAGACTTTATATACAAGTAAAGCAGTAAGTAAACTCACTCACTTGGATATTTGGTTTAAAAAAAAATAGTTTTTATTTCACTCTTCTGTTTCATTTTGCATACAGGGATTTGGCCTGGAAGCAAAAACTCACTAAAGTGGCTTCAGGACAACTGGTTGTGTTTCAAGTTCTGCTAAAAAACTACATGGCCTTGGCCAAATCACCTGACTTCTGTGGACCTCCATTTCCTCAAATACAAAATGAAAATGCTGGATTGATTGCTAAGACTCCTGTCACCACTAAAATCCTATGGTTATACAAGAGAAATAAAAATTCCCAAATTTTGAAGTGAATGAGAGTAAAAGCATGACAAAATTGTACCAGTTGGACAAAATAATAATAAAGCATTCCTAGACATGTGCCCTGGTGTCCCAAAGCAGATGTTTTCACAGAGAACCTGTATGTGTGGAACAACCACCTATGAAAATGGAAGCATGGTGATGTTGCCACACTGTGTGCAGCTAAGAAACCCTCAGGGTACACTGAAAGGATGGACTTGACGCAATAAAGAAGACAAAATTGAGTGCCAGTGGTTAGTAATAATATTTGGCAAACTTTTCCTTTGATGGCAATAAGAAAATAAAATATATTCTAGATATGATAGAGACTTAAACACACACACACACACACACACACACACACACACACACACACGTTACAATAATTAATTAGGAGGAACAGAGTCAGTAACCTAAGTGGAACCTAAGCAGCTGAAAAAGCAACTTACCAGATTCTCCTCTTCGGCCCCTCTTACCTCGTTTCCCTGGAGGGCCTGAAATACAAAAATTACATACATCTTTAAGTTTTGGTTCAGAAATGGCTAATAAATAATTTCTGTATATTTTATCACTGTTTTTAAGAATGCCAAGAAATAGACCAGATATTTATAGAGAAGAGCACTGTCATTGGTATTTCAACATAGATCTTCAGCTTCATTTACCTATAAATGTTGCACTATTTCTTTCACCATCCAGTATTGCTTAGAAACACTAAAGACATGGAGTTTTTGTTCATCCTGCCCAGATGTCATCAATAAAGAAAGACTTTTCTAAGCAACTTGGTGTTATTGAGTTTCATATTTCTTAGAAAAATTTATTTTCTGAGTGTGTTGGTATAAATAATAAAAAGTACTAAGTATGAATAAATAACTGGTTTCTCTTCGGGAAGTTCCATTATGATTCTCTTAAAAATATTAAGTTGGCAGTTAGTTAAATATAAATTAGTAATAAAAAGTATATATTAATAATAAAAATAACCTTACACATATTCCTATTTTATTACATGTGGACTTTCATATATTGGAATTTCTCTGATTGAGAACCTGCTGAGTTAAAATCACAACCCTTTTAATTGCAAAGTGTTTGGTTAGTAACTATAGGTCTCAATTAACTAAGGGCTAGCTCCTATTGTCATCCAATAAGTACTTAGTCTTTATGATATCACCATTTTAAAAGTGGAGAAAAAACTTTTCTTTTTCAGTGAGTTGCCTATGAAGACCACCAAGCTAGTATGTAACAGACTTAGCACAAGATTCTAGACATCCATGGCTTTCAAACCATTATTCTCAATTATATAATTTCTCCCCTCATTTCCTTGTGTAGGAATAGCTCCCATTAAATTATGGTTCCAGCAAATAGAAGAGAATAATTAGCCCACAATGAGAATTGAGGTCTTGTAATATTTGCTGGAAGAAAGAGGCCAAGGAAAATACAGAACTTCCTGGTTTTAAAGAATGAGCTGCTAAGTTGGACTGATGACTTCCAAATTCCACAAAGTTCAAGAGACAAGCAGCACAGGCCTCAGCATCCAGCTGACTCCGACTGTGATCCTGAGCTACCGACTTCCACATGGAAACACTATCATGAGAAATAAAAACATTGGTGGGCCAGTTGGTTTCCTCTCAAGCCTGTACACAGAGTAAGTCCAGCCATCTGGGTTTTGTAAGAGGTTAAAAACAATCAAGCAATAAAATCAATTGAAACTATTAGGAGAAACAGCTTCATAGCAGAGCCCCAAATTTCCATTAGAAATTTCAGATTTCTTTCTATATTCTGAAATAAAAAGATGTTTTAATCATATTTGGGGTATTTCAGGCCAGATTGAGAGCACGAGTAACTATAAACAAATAAATAAACCCAGTGGGACCCTAGTAGGTATGGAAAATACACATTTATACACACATTCAAATGCACATATAAGAAATATACAGGGGTGGGCAAAAGTAGGTTTATAAGCAGTTGTTTATATGGAAAAAGACATGCAGTCTATAATTTTTATGATAGCTTTATTAACTGTGTTTCACATACTCACAATTGTAAACCTACTTTTGCTCACTCCTGTATTGACATATTCTGATATGTAAAATATCCTACAATTAAAATTCAGATTTTTTTCTATTACAAAATCAATTAAAATAATAAATTTTTAGAAACTATGATATACTTATGATGTCTGTGATTTGCATAGTAGGGCTTACTGTTGATGAATAAGTTGTGTATCTTCCTAGAAGAGGCATTTAAAGTTGAAAAGATTAAAATATAAACATGAAAAAGTCATTAATAGCATGTGATAAAGATGGCACAATGAGTTTATACTCTGATTTGTTTCTTCTACTCCATATACATGGTCAATTATAGAAAGAAAAAACATTTTAGAAGTATTTATATTCATAAAGAAATGGACATGCCTACAGGCAAGAAATTGACCAGAAATGCAAAGTGGAGAATAGAGATAAAACCATGAGCCGGCTGGGTTCCAGTTCTTCAAGTAGGATTGGGGCCATGACTCAAAGTTCTCCAACCCAAGCCAGGTTCATTTCTTAAAAGCCAGAGTCATGCTGAAGAGATGCTGAATAAAACCTAGGTGTCCGACTTAAAGGTTTGGGAATATAAGCATAATCTCTCAATCAGGAAAGATGATTAAAAAAAATTGATTTCAGAGAGGAAGGAAGAGGGAAAGAGAGATAGAGAGAATCCTTGATCGGCTGCCTCCTACATGCCCCATGCTGGGGATCAAGCTCGCAACCAGGGCATGTGACCTGACAGGGAATCGAACCGTGACCTCCTGGTTTACAGATTTACACACAATCAGTGAGCCACTCTGCTGATTTGATGTCTAATTCTATGATATCCCCAACATAAATCTGGGACAGGAGTCTTAACATGACATTTTAAGATAAGTCTGATCTAGAAGGGTGAAAAGTCAAGTAAAGACAAACATAACATTTTTAGATTAAGAAAAAGTAAACACAGGGAAAAGAAAGGTAGACACAGAGAAAACTACACATACACACACGCACACACACACAAAAAATAATAATAATAAAATACTTTTTCTTTTCATAAGGAATATAGAAACCCAAATTCCAAAAATGTATAAAGAAATCTAATGCTAAGAAAGATATCACTCAATAATAAGATCATGAATTCCTTAATTATTTTAAGAAAACGTCAGACAAAGGTTGGTCTGTTGAGTTTTAAGAGCTAAATGAAAGGTAACATCCATTAAAGGACAGAATTTTAAATATAAACAAGGGGGGCAGAGAACAAGAATATTTGAAAAAGAACCTTTTAGAAATCTTGAAAATGTAAAAAACACAGTCATCAAAATATTTTTAAAAGATCAAAAAATTAAGTGCTAGCTTGGATATGGTTGAACAAAGAACTGATGTGAAAAATGCAGAATTCTGTGCACCTCCAAAATTCTCATGTTGAAGTTTTACCCACCAGTGTGGCTGGTGTGAGTCAGTGGTTGAGCATAGACCCATGAACCAGGAGGTCATGGTTTGATTTCTGGTCAGGACACATGCAGGGTTATGGGCTTCCAGTAGCGGGTGTGAAGGAGGCAGCTGATCAATGAGTCTCTCTCATCATTCCTGTTTCTCCCCCCTCTCTCTGAAATCAATACAAATATATATTTTTTAAAATTCTATCCTCCAAAGATGATGGTATTAGGAGGTGGGACTTTCAGGAAATACTTAAGTCGTGAGGCTGGAGCTCTCATAATAGGATTAGTGCCTTCTAAGAGACCTCCCCTCCCCATTGAGAGTCTTAGTCCCTTTCACTATGTGAAGACACAGCAAGAAGGTACCAGTTATGAGCCAGGAAAAGGACACTCAGCAAAAGGCAACGATGATGGCTCCTTAATCTTCCTGCCACAACTGACAGGCTGCGCCATATCTGAATTTCCATCAGCCTACTTCAGACTTTTTACCCCACCCTATGATTCCCTGAAACCCCCACTCTTTCTTATTTGCAGGCTCATCCAAGCCTTTGCCATACAACTGGCCTCTCTTGCTTTGGACTTTCCTAAAAACTCTCAAACAAGCAGTAGTTGGCATCAGTGTGCCTCATCTCTCTCAATAAGTGACCCCAGCCTCATCATGGTTCACAGCTTGGCCTCTCCTGAGCACCTCCAAGCTCAACACAAGTAGCAGCCATCTGCACCCACTATTGCTTTTTAGGTCATGCTGGGTGGCCCTGGGCAGAGGACAGGCAGAAACTGACTTTGCACCTTCATGGAGGCCCCAGAACCAGTGCCCCTGGTGGTCAACTTCAACTACACCAAATTACAAGCCCACCACTTCCGAGAGTGACACATTCAAGGGGAGGACTTGGTGAGCACCAAAGTCGCCTGAAGCAAGTCCTGCTACATAGGAATGTTTCTGGTACCTCCGCTCTTCAGATATAGACACAGCTGATCCTCACAACAGATTGGCCTGGGGATCATTCCCTCTCAGTGATACCAACATAAATCAAGGCTCAATTATAATAGGACTGTGCACACAGCTTACAAGGGGGTGCACTTGGAATGCACAGTTCAGGTGACTGGGCAGGCTGAGCCACTAAGCCCTCTAGGACACCTACTATACAAGGTGGCTCTACCAAGTCTGGGAGACATAGAAAATCTACCTAATTCATGGAAGCAAACACAGGGAAGCAGCCAAAATGTGGAGACAAAGAAACATGTCACAAATGAAAGAATAGGAGAAATCTCCAGAAAAAGATCTAAATAAAATGGAAGCAAGAAAGCTACCAGATACAGAGTTCAAAACATGAAGCATACACTAACTGAAATAAAGAATACAGGGGTTCCACAATTGAATAGAGGATGCCAAGGATCAAATTAAGAATTTAGAATATAAAAAAGCAAAAAACACCCAATCAGAATAGCAAAAAGAAAAATGAATCCACAAATATGAAGATAGTGTGAGGAGCCTCTGGGACAACTTCAAGTGTACCAACATTCACATCACGAGGTGCTTGAAGAATAGAGAGCAGCAGAAATTAAAAACCTATTATAGAAAAAATAATGACAGAAAACTTCCCCCACCTGGTGAAAGAATAGACTTACAAGTTTAGGAGGCACAGAGTCCCAAACAAGATGAACCCAAGAGGCCCACACAAAGACACATCATAATTAAAATGTCAAGGACAAAAGACAAAGAGAGAATCTTAAAAGCAGCATCAGAAAAGCAGTTAGTTACTACTTATAAGAGAACACCCATACAACTGTCAGCTAATTTATCAACAGAAACTTTGCATGCCAGAAGAGAGTGGCAAGAAATATTCCAAGTGATGAAAAGCAAGGACCTATAACTAAGATTACTCTACCCAGCAAAGTTATTATTTATAATTGAAGGTCAGATAAAGAGCTTCCCAGACAAAAAAAAGCTAAAAGAGTTCATCACCACCAAATCAATATTATTATACATAAAATATTGAAGGGTCTTCTTTAAAAAGAAAAAGAAAAAAGATTAAAAAAATTTGAACA